GAGGAGGACCCGGAGGGCGCGGCCGGCCGGCCTCCCCGTGGGGTGTGCGCGCGCGGCGGACGAGCGGGAGTCCGTGGGCAGAGGGCGGCGGGCTGCGGGGTGAAGAACTGCGTCGCAGAGGCGTGTCGGAAGGGGGCCCGCCGGCGAGGGAGGTGCCAGGTCGTCCCGCGGGTCAAGGGAACCCACTGGGGACTTGTTACGTGAAATAGGCCCATTTCGAGGGCAGAGCATTGCACCGCTCGCCCCACACAGATGCTCGCGGTGAGAGCTGGGAGCTGCTTCCGCCGGAGAGTGACCCTCCAGCCTCGGAGCGCGGGGCGCGCTGGACCTGGGAGGCCCTCAGTGCACGAATTCGAGTTACATCTTAAAAGTCACCCGCAGTGCAGTTCTGCGGGCTGACTCGTGTACTTTCACAACTCTGCTGATAAAATGAATTCTTAGGCTGCCATGTACTCATAGCTATAGTCGTCCTAATGATGTTTTTGAGCAAATGTTTTGTGTACATTTTGCTTTTGAGGAAATGATGTGATGTACTCAGTGTTTTAACTTATTTTGACAGTAACTGACTATGTATGTTTCATATCAGGACCAGGTACACACAGCGCGCGCACTGCCCCCCACGCACATATACTTTATCTGTATTCAAAGTAAGTTCATGATCCAGTACAAAGTAAATTCAGTGCACTCTGAAAATTTGTCTTATCTCATTAATAAATGCTAATTGCACTGCACCAAATTGACATTGTAAGAAGTTAATGAGTCATCGACTAGATAATTATGACCTTAGCACCTTTTCATAAATTTGCTGAGTTCTGTTTGATGCATTCAGAGTGGATGAAATACTAAAATTATTGGGTGATATATTCTAGTTTTGGAAAACTTATGTTTTGGATTTTTTTGGGAAAACTTAGTTTCTCCTACTAATTATCTCAGTGATAATTTATCTCACTTTATTATTTTTTCTCAAGTGCTGGGGATTGAATCCAGGGCCGTGCCCATGTTAGGCAAGTGGTCTTACCTCTGAGCTGTATCTGCAGCCTCTTGTATTTTTTTGAAACAGGGTCTTGCTAAATTGCCCAGTGGGACTTGAACTTTTTAACCTTCTGTCTCTGTTTTTTGTATACTTGTTTATCAATTGATTGAAATTATCAATAGAAACAAAAATTATCAATGAAATATATCAGTTAAATTTTTAAAAATGTATGCGTTTTATGATTTAAAGATCTAAATATTAAAACAGAAACACTAGATCTATTGGAGGAGAAAATAGGTGGAAGTCTTGAAGACATAAGGGTAGGTAGAGAGTTCGTGAACAAAAACCAGACTGCTCGGGAAATATTTAAAAGAATCAGCAACTGGGATCTCATCTTATTGAAAAGTTTTTGCACATCAAAAGAAACCAACAGGGTGAAAAGAAAACCCACGAATTGGGAAAAAGTTTTAGCCAACTGTTCCTCAGCTAAAGGACTCCTGTCTAGAACATATAAAGAATTAAAAAAAATCAGGCCCCCAAAATTTAAAGACCCAATCCAAAAATAGGCATCTGAGATGAATACACACTTCTCACATGAAGAAATAGAAATGGCAAATAAATACATGAAAAATGTTCAGCATTATTAGTCATTTGAGAAATGCAAATTAAAACAACACTGAGATTCCATCTCACCCCAGAAAAAAATGGCTCTCATCAAGAAGTCAACCAGTAACAAATATTGGAGGGGATGTGGGGAAAAAGGAACTCTTCTCTGCTGTTGGTGGGAGTGTAGACTGGTGCAGCCACTGTGGAAATCAGTCTGAAGATTCCTCAGTCAGTAAACTGGGGTTAGATAGAGGTCCCATTCAACCCAGCTGTTCCCCTCCTGGGTATTTTTCCAGAAGAACTGAAAACATACCACAGCGATATATGTGGGCTCATGTTTATAGTAGCATGACTTGTAATAGCTAAATCTTGTAAACAACCCAGATGCCCATCAACTGAGGAATGGATAAAAAAGATGTGATATTTTTATACAATGGAGTGTTACTCAGCTATAAAGAAAGATAAACTAGAGGTTTTATAGGTAAATGGATGCAACTAGAGACCATACTCATTAGTGAAATAAATCAGATTCACATGTGTAAACATCATATTTCTTCCGTACTATAAGAATCTGAATTAGTAAATACAATCTGAAAGCTACAGTAGATATTGTGAAAGGGAAAAGAAACTGCTCAAATAGGAAGGAGCAACTAGGATGAAGGAGGGGAGAGGGAAAAGAAGAAGGAAAAATATGTATATGTATACACAGGATAGCTAGGATAATTGTAGTACTAATATCTTGGTTTATTGAAAGGAAGTGTAAATGTGTAATTGATCAACCTTGCATGCCTATATCTGGTGATATGTGCAACTATTTTGAAGATGACATTGTGTAGTATAACAACCATTGTTAATACCCTATCATCATGTTTTGAAATTCTGTATTATTTTTCTCTGTGCTGTTTAGTTTATATATTTGTTTTTGTTATTTTGGTTTTTTTTTTAAATGAAAAACAAAATTTACATGTGTATATAAGCATAGCTGGAATAGGTGTATTGCTGATGTCTGCTTTATTGAAAGGAACAGTCAATGCTTAAAATTTTCTTTTTTCTTGACCTATTTTGCATGCTTGAATCTGGTAATCACAGTGACTGATCTGAAAACAACAATGTGCAGTAGAAGAACCATTGTTGAACTCCTACCATCTTGTATGGTGAAGCTCTGCATCATTTCCAATTTTTTTTTTATTACTTGTTACTGTTTTTAATTGTTTGATCAGTGTTACATTCTTCTGTCTGGTGGACTGAGCAACTTCGTTGAGGATAATAGTATGTCATGTAGCAACCATTGTTAATGCCTGTCATTTTGTTTTGAGGTCATGTATTGTTTTTGTTTTTGTGTTGATTTGATTTTGTCTTCATTTTTAAAAAAATTTTTAAAATAAAAAAATTTTTAAAAAAGTATACATTTTAAAACAATACAAAAATAAGTCTTTACTCTAGCTGCTAGAAAAACAGTTCTATTCCCCAAAGACACTCATTACCAGTGTCGTATATTCTTCCTGAGATATTCTAAATTACAGCATATTATTGTAAAACATATGTAAAAGGTGTGTATGTGTGTACCTACACCGTTTTGATTATGTATTTTTGTATTTATATTGTGTTTAGCTTTGAATAAATTGAACTTTTTTGTATTTGGTATTGTATAGTTAAGATTCAGGGCAGGATACAGAATTCACTAGATAGTTAAGCAGAAAACTAATGCAGGCAAGTAAATTTTAGCCAGTCCTGGAATGACTTCCAACATTGGTAGAGTACCCAGAACCTTTGAGGTTGTCATTGACACACTGTCAGAGCCCCGCTGGTCACAGAACATCAGGAAGGTGAGGTGTGAAAGCTGTCATTTAGGGTTTAAGAAGCTGGATCAGTAAGTTACCTCTACTGTTTTTAATACCTAGGAAGTTTCAGTAAAATCAGTTTTTTACCAACAGTAATAATCAGAATTACAGTAAGATCGTTTCTGCCTCATTTCCACTATCTAAGTTTTGTGGAACTCTTATAGTGGAATGCTGTTCACATCTGGCATTCTAGTAGATAGAATGGTGGAGGTGGGAAAATGTAGTTTTAAACTTTCTAATCTCAAAGTAGAAGAGATGAAGTAGAATTGGGAATATCATTGAAGACTACTATTGTACTATAAGTAATTGCTCACGTATTATTTTAAAATGGTGATTGAGTTGAGTGGTCCAAAATAATTATACTGACATTTCCTTTGACAGTTTTCTCTTTTCTTCTCTTTTGTGTTGTATTGTTTTGTTTTGTTTCCTTTTCTTTTCAGGACTGGGCCGAGCTTATGCCCTGGCTTTTGCGGAAAGAGGAGCATCAGTTATTGGTAAGTTGGTGTATTTTTTTTGTTGTTGTTTTTAAGACAGACTCCTTCTGTAGTTTAGGCTGGCCTTGAACTCTTGGAGATCCTCTTGCCTCAGCCTCCCAAGTGCTGGGATCATAGGCATGTGCCACCACACCCAGGATATTTTTCTTTTTAATCAGCAGCTGGTAACTAAAATATAGTCTTCAAGAGCTACTTTTGTCTTTCTATTAAAGAATTTGTCAAAGTTTAATTTCACATGAATTTTTACTTTTGTTTGCAAATTTTTCCGTCACCCTTAAGGTTGATGGAATTTCTGATTATAGATTTGATAAAGAAAAGCAAGCAAGCATTGTGTAAGAGGGAATTCTTGATTTTAGTGGTGTGGGCTATATGTTTTTGAGATAGACCACTTGCCTATTGATGCAGGATCAAAGAATCTCTGTAAATTTATTGGTAAATGTTAGAAATAATTGGATTTTGAGAATTGAAAGTTTGGTGTTAGGGAATCAAAAGTATGGGTTTCTTCTCTCTTTCATTAAATATTTTTCAATTAAAAGCATACATATTTGTAGGACATAATAATCACATTCCTAGTAGGGATTTGGTATGTGTACATAACATATCACATTCCCTCCTTTTAATCTTACTTCCTTTCCTTCCCACTCCCTCCCTCCATTTCTCGGTTCCTTTCCCATTTGTGAAAGATCTGTCTCATTATTTCCTATTGTCTATCTTTTATTTTGCTCTTTATATATTTTTTGGGTTTTTCATATGAGTAAAATCATGCAGCGTTCAACCTTGTGTGTGTGATTTATTTCACTTCACATTATGGTCTCAGGGTGCATCCATTTTTATACAAATAACTGAAGTTTGCCCTTTATGGTGGAGTAGTGCCATGGTGTGTTAAGTGCCACATTTTGTGGCACTTCATCTGTTGGTGGCATGTAGGTTGCTTACTGACTTACATAAGTTTCAGTGTTATGGTGGAGGAGTCAGTTCTAAGATACGTATTGAAAAAATCTCCAGTGTGGGATTTTAGTAATCTAAATAGTTAGGACTGGCTGATTATTTGGCAGTTGGTGTGGACACAGTTTGTCCATATCCATGCCTTTATGGGGAATGAGTGCTAAGTGCTGGGTGGGTAGGTGGGTGGGGGTGTAGGGCAAACTTTAGGGCATAATACGTATTAGCATTTTCTTGTGGTGAAATTTTCCACTTACAGAGATCTAATTACAGCTTTCCTACATCTTACTAAGGATACAGAGAAACAAATTTCCCTCAGTTTGTTATAGAGAGAGGTATAAAGAGACTAAGTGCATAGTCAGGTTTCCTCAGCAGCACATTGGAGATCCTTTTTGTCCTTGTGTGGAGATAGAGCTTATCTTTCTGAAAGGCACACAAAGCCTTTGGATGTTCTTTAAGATCATAGCTGCTGTTTGCTGATCCAGTGGGCTTATGGTGAGGACACGTTTTGACATTGTAATACTTGTTTTTTTTTTGACATTGCAATATTTGAATAGGGATGGTGTATTTCAGATCTCTGTATCAGATTTTCCCAAGAATATTTCATGCTGGGTGCCCAAAGATGTATATTGTTACTGTTGTTTAAGTTTTATTTAGTTATTAATATTTTCACCTTAAAATTAATACGCTTTACCATATCCTGTCCTCTCAGTTTTTGTAACTGCAAGGATCTTGTTTGAACTTTTTCTAAGATTGAATACATTTCTATTTTTTCTTTTGTTTTTTTTTTTTTTTTGGTTTTTCTCCGGTACCGGGAACCGAACTCATGACGTTGCGCTTGCCAGGCAGGCGCTTTGCCCCTGAGCTAAATCCCCAGCCCCTATTTTTTCTTTTGTTTTGACTAAGATAAAGACAAAGTTTAAAGGTTGTGTCATAGAAATTTTCATAGCTACGTGTGTTTGTGTGTACCAGATTTTCTTTGTTTTTATATTTGAATTTGTTAAATTCAGATGAAAATGTGCAGGGACAACATGTCTGTTTATTCTCTGATTACCTTGTGATAAAGATGTTGTTATAGTGAATACTTGCCAAAAGTCCAAGAAGGCAGAAAAAAAAATTTGTTAAACTGGCAAAAGACCAGGGTTTAATTTGGTACCGGGAATTAAGCCAAAAGGTGCCTACTACTCAGCTGTATCCCTAAACCTTTTAATTTTATTTTGAGACAGGGTTTCACCTAGATGGCCAGGCTTGCCATCTTCCTGGTCAGCTGGTATTATAGTGTGTGTTACTATGGCTACCTGAAATTGAATCTGCAGAACTTCTGATGGGGCTGGGCACTGTGAACCTGATTTTGAGGAAAAAGTTATCTATGTCACCGCCATTTTGGAACATGGCGCTCTGCGGCTTTCTTCTCAAAGCAAAGTGTTTCACCTTTGCAGGTTTTGCTGCTGCAGATGGTGGAGACTTGCTGCTCCCAGTGATGTCTGCAGGCCGTCTCCTTCTCAGCAGTGCAGATCTCCTCAGCTCTATCTTTACAGTCCACAGCTTTACAGTAGCTTCCTTTCTGGCCAAACTCACATTTTAAATAGTCCTGCTGGGCTCTTTGCCCTTGATTCTCAACATAAATCTGACTCAAAGCCCCAACAACAGCCATGCCACTGCCCAACATTTGACTGCCTTGAAGTTTCTTCTGCCAGATTAATTAGTCTGCTGTCCTTAATCTTAGTCTCAGGCAAAATCTCTGGACACAAGCAAAATGCAGACAAACTTTCTGCTAAGCCATAATATAGATCCTCTGGAGTCCAAGAGCCAATGCAGTGCTTTCCGGCAGAAACCTCCCAAGCCTGGTCTTTACTGGCTGGATTTCTATCAGCCTTCTGGTCTTCTGAGCTCTGACCAGAATCTTCCATACAGAACAGCTCTACTCTTTCAGGTGACATCTCTGAACCTTTCTATATTCTTCCCACATGCTATTCCCAAAGGCTTTTGAACCACATGGTCAGGTATAGTCACAGCAATGACTCTACTTCTCTGGTACCAAATTCTGTCTTAGTTACTTTTCTCTTGTTGCTGAGAAAATATACCTGATGCCCAAAATCAAGGAAGGAAAGGTTTATTTTGCTCACAGTTTGTGGAGGTTTCAGTCCATAACCAACTGGCTCCAAGGCAAGGTGGCACATGGCAGAAGCAATAGTTCATGGTGGCAGAAAACAGCAAAAAATCAACAGAGTGAAAAGTGAGGAGCAGCAGAGACCAAGCCCCTTTCCTTCCCTTATATTGTATGCAGGTTGCCTACCCCAGGGTGGGTGTAACACTCACACCCATAGTCCCAAACATTTTTTTTGTAAGAAGGGCAGAAAGTTATTTACTCTTGAAGTAACATCTTTGGGTAAATTAACTTATGATCCTATGAAGTAAGATTGATGTGATGTTTTTTCTGGGTTGCAGTTACACAATTCTGGCAATGCCCAGTCTTACATTCTCATGGACTGTTGCCAGAGCCTGCATTTTTAACCACTGTGTGATGCTGCCAGCTGAATGCTGCATGCCAGCGGGGAATGTCTATTGAACTAGGTTAAGGTTCAGATCCTGACTCTGTGCCTAGTTATGTGACCTCTGTGTTTGTAGCTTTTTTCCCTATCCACTAGAACTATGGTGAGGTTAAATTACATAAAAATTAGAGACTTTTGTAAAGGGAAGGGGAAAGAACTGTTGCTCCTGCTTACCATGTTCTGGGCACTGTGCTCAAAAACTACATAAGTCAGTTCATCAGTGAGGCTGAAGTCTTGTTCCCTCAGGGACCACCTCAGTCCCCTTATTTAAAGCATGTTTCTCCTCTTGATACTTAAAGAAAAAGGGCTGTTGTAGGCACCAGTGTATTCTCTGTGAGTATAAGCATAGTATTTTGCTTAGTAATCAGGGATTGTGCTGGTTGATTGGGTACTTAAACTTACATAACACAAGGAGAAATACTGAAAGAAAGCACACATGGAGTCCACCTTACAATGAATGAGCCATATATGCAACACCCAGGTCTCCCTTAAATGTGTTCATGACAGTCACCAACACAGGTTTGAATTGCTTTAAAATAGCGGTTAGCTATTTATCCCTTTTAAAGCCTATTAAAAAAAAAACAATAAAGTTAATGGACATAGCATTAATTGGATTCATTTATTAATCCAAAAAATCAAAGAAGTATTTCTTGAGTATCTGTTACGGGGTAAGCACTGTTCTGGGTGCTGGGAGATTACAATAGGAATTAGACAAGGTCTCTACTTTTGTGGAACTTTTAGGGGGCAATTGAAAGACAGGCGATAAAATGTGTATTTGTTTAAAATAATGCAGGAATGCTATAAAAAAGTTGGAATGGGCAGGTTGGAAAATGCTGAAGACAGACTTGAGGGAAGACCTGCAGGAAGGGAAAGAGTGTACCTAGAGAACTGGAGCAGGAGAGTGCCTGGCAGAAAGAACAGCTGAGGAGGAGCTGACATTGTGTATTTCAGGGTACCAAGAAGGGCCTTGTGGCTGGACAGCATGAGGTCAGTGAAGGGAACAGAAGTGAGAGATGAGAGCAGACAGATTGCAGGAGGTTTGAATGACAGTATTCCTTCCAGTAGTCATGCTGAGACTTAGTCCTCATTGTGGCAGTATTGAGATGTAACCTTGAGAGGGCATCAGCACCTGCACAAAAGGGTCACTGTTGAAGTGCCCTCTCGCCCTTCCTTCCATTCCACCATGCGAGGTGATAACATTTCTTCACTCTGGCATATGGCAACCAGACTGCATCTTGGAAGCAGAGAACAGCCATCACCAAACAATCATTTTTGGATAGCCCAGTCTATGAAGTAAGATTGACATGACTTTTTCTGTGCTGCAGTTATATAATGACTGGCAGTGTTGAATCTTACATTCCCATGGACTGATGTCAGAACTGTGAAAATAGTTTTTTATTGTTTATAAAATCACATAGTGGTATTTTGTTATACCTCATGCAAGTGGATGAAAGGACCTAATGTAAGGTGTTGCTTTCTGAACTGCTACCACATTTTGGAGTCCTT